TTCAGTTACGACAGATCATTGAATAGCACTGTATTTTTACGGTAGTGATTATTTCATCTTACCCCAATCTATAAGAGGGTGTTGTGAATCTGGGTGAGGTCTTCTTGCCACCCACACCCACCCCTGTGCTTCACATCAAATCTCATTGTTTGAATAAATCTAACATCTTCATCTTCTATTTTCGCAATATCTTTTTTTTTTGTAATAAATAGTCAGAAAATATTCGTTCCTTCTCTTATAATTAAAAACGCTTGCTAAATTTGATAATTAAGTCAGTTTAGTCTGTAAGTTGCTTGCTAACGTTTGCAGGAATAGCATGCAGATTTTCTACAATCATTAAGATCCGGTCAAGAATCCAATCAGGTAATCTAGATAATGGAAAAAAGATAATGCTTGATTGTAAACCAGGTCGATAGCGAATACAAGGAACTGTATTCATAACAGCATGTTGAAGAGCTCGAACGACTTTCATAGGATCCTCGGCATAATTCACGAAGGGATTGGTTTTTTCAATATCAAATTTTGTTTTAAGAAAATTTTCTCCCCATCGCTCTTGTACATCACTTGAAAGTCGATTCCAAAAATTTGGAAATGATTCATAATGTCCTTCAATAATGGGTGTTCGCATAAATCCTGGTTCAATAACACTAACACGTAAACGCCATGGAAACATTTCACGTCGAAGACAATCAGAAAACGATTCAAGAGCATATTTTGATGCACAATAAGCAGATAAACTTGGTGACGTGATATAACCAGCCGCAGAACAAATATTAACAACACGTGAATCACGTTTCGCGATCAATAAAGGTAAAAATTTCTTTGTCATCGCAACATGTCCAAAGTAATTCACATCCATTACTTTACGCATAGCTTCCATCGATGTCCAATCAATATAACCAACAATAGCAATACCAGCATTATTAACAAGTCCATGAAGAACTTTTGTTTTGTTTTTGACTAATTCAAATGCTGCGTCAATATCTTCTTGTTTAGTAATATCAAGAGAAAAGACTGTAGCTCTTGATGAAAGTTTATCTTTGAGAGTGATTACATTATCAGGAATATAAACACCAGCAAGAACATAAAAACCTTGTTTATCAAGTTCAATAGCTAATCCATGACCAAATCCAGTATCACAACCACTAATAAGAACATATTTACCATTAGGATTAATGTTTGGTGTCGGAAAGAAATGCTGATATAAACGATAGAAGATATAAAGGCCGAATAAAAAAGCAAGAATGAGGCACATTATAACACTATGAAAACAAATGAAGAAAAAAGTGCACAGCAAACAGTCATTTTATTCTTTTTCTTATCAAGTGTCATTGCCACACCAATAGCATCAGCCAATCCGCGAGCGCTGTGTAAAAGAATACAAAACACATTTTCTTTTATAAATAATCGTGGTATTTCTTTACTCTTTCGTTCTTCGTCTTTTGTTCTTTTTGTGATATATGTGGATCACAGTGGAAGTATTACATGGATGTGGGTGTGGTTCAAGAAAAGAACTCTAAGGATACCAAAATCGACA